TGTTTTTGTCCCAAACAATTTTGAGAAGTCATTGTTTAGTTCTTTCTTAATAAATAGCAATATATATATATACTCACAAGAATTATTGAATTGCAAATGTTTTTGAATAATATTTTTGAAAATAAAACGGTTCCGTGCTGTATAATTTTTGCCATTTTCTATTCCTTGTATAGTTCAGCCTCTTAGCTTATAATAGTCTATCATAAAACACTAAAAAAAAAAAAAAAAACAAAAAGAAGAATGTATAAAAACTCTTACAGTAAGAACTTGAATATTTTTTCAGTCTTAAATGCTTTTGAAATTTTATTCCAATATTAGAAGATTAAAATACTTAACAGGTATAAATCCAGAATATTTTAAACAGTGATACTGAGAAATATTTTGCCAGGTTTTCTTATATAATTGTGAAAATTTATTATTGAATTCAGTAGATATAGTAATGTAAAATTAGAAGTTCAGCAGTTATAGTTTAGAAAAAAAATTGTTAACTTTTTGTTTTTTGGTTTAATTTTTTTTATTCAAAGAGGCAAACTGAGGTATTTCCCAATTCTAAAGTTGTGTTTGTACTAAATTAGCACAATTTGCTTAACTGCTGATATTTTCAGTATTCTGTCTTTCCTTTCTTTATAGAAACATTTCAATTGATATGTCTTTTATTCTAGAAAAACAGTTGTACTGCCACTAATTGTAATAAACAAGAAAAAGTTGAATATTTGAAAGTATACTCTCTAGAACCTGTAAACGGTGCGTAATGCGTATACATACTATATATCGTGGTTGACAAACATTTGTCAACCGCAATATATAGTATGTATACACATTATACGCCGTTTACAAGTTCTAAAGAGTATAGATTTTGCCCATGGTGCTGAGTTAGAATGAACTGTGTTTATTTGAAAGTAATTTTAATTCTTTCAACTAGGATGATGTAGCTAATTCCTTTGTCTGCTGCTGTTTCTACTTTTGTTTGGTAAACTATGAAACAATTTATCATTCTTTTGTTTGTTAAAACAGCCATATGCATAATACTGAAGAACTTTTCAATAATAAAAATAATATAACATTCAAAAAAATACCAGAAAGTTTCTAAAACTAGGGAAAAATAGCCAATAAGAATATCACTACAATTGACAGCCAATTTAAATTATTGGCAAATATTTAGAAAAGATTGTTCTACTTAGTTATATACATAGTCAAACAAACTGAATTAATTGCCGGTAGTGATTAAGGTCAGGGTTTTGGTTACAACCTTAGTAATAATTGTTAAATTTGAGAGATATTTTATTGGTTTTATCTATTAAGAAATTGGGAGAAATAGGATGTGTGTGGGTTTTTTCCACTTGGTTATTTTTTTTCTATACTTGACCTTTGGCTCAATTTTTTCGTCATCATATTAACATATAACTAAATTATTTAATTATTAGATTATTCCTTTTGAATCTCACATTAGGAATTATATTTAACAGTATAAATTAAATGTAAGAACTTTTAATGAATATCTTTAAGAAAAACATGAGTACCTGTAAGCCAGAAAAAAAATTAATTATCATACAAAAATATTATTAATTACTTTTCTGAATTTTCAGAAAAAGTGAACAATAAAAAATTTTTCTTCCATAAATTATGCATTTAACTCTATCTTTTGTTTTAAATTAAATTATAAATCACAGCACTAGAAAGAAAGGAAATCTTGCGCCATGGTAAATTGAAATTGAATCTAATGATGTCACTTGAGTTAAACAGAAAATGTAAATTGCATGATCATTGTCGTGCCTTGCTTCAGCTGATGGTGCACTGCACATCTTTAGTCACATGGTTTTCTCAAAATTGTCTGTCTATGTATGTCTAATCTGTGGAGCAAACAGCATAGCTTCACTTTGCAGCAAATTGTTCTTTGACTTTTGCAATTTTTCTTGTATTGTGCATTATTTTTCATTTATTTTATTCCATAAGACACTGTTAAAGTATCGATGGTGCAAAGAACCCCGAAAAAACAAAAAAAAAACAAAATACAGGATTTATTCGTGGACAAAAATTTTACACAAGCGCCCACTATAATTTTATGGGATAAGTGAAATTGAGTACACCGAATCCCTACTCGACCTCACTCGCGTACAACGGGAGACAAAAGCCTTGTGCACGTGGTGTTACAATCGAATGAAGGTTCGCGACAATAGAGTACAACTACCAACTTAATTACTATGGTTATAACTACCTTACGAACTAAGATTAAACTATGGAAGGATGAAAGCACAGATAGGAAGACGTATAGAAAGGTTAGGAAAAAGGGTACCCAGAATATTCGGATGTGATATCTTCCTGTTGGAGGGGGAAACTGTAATTCAGCCTGAAGACGCAAACGATTCTTGATTCGAACTTTCTCTGTCCTTCCCTCGATGGATCGATCATCTGCTGTTCTTCTCCTCTCCAAAATGAATCCTGTCCAAGATGTCCGTCCGCTCGCTTCCTCGTCTACTTCGAGAGTGACCCTTTTCTCTCCCTATCTGCCTCGGGCCAATACTCCCTGCCTGGCCTCATTCTCGTCGATGTCCTCCCCCTCCAACAAACAGGAAGTGAAGAGTGGAAAGACAAAGAAGTGAGAAGACAAAGAACACAAGAAAGAATTGTTATTACTAGACTTATGATTATCGCGTATACAATAATATGGCATTTTGCCACACCACCACATGGAACCTAAGAAAGCTAGTGTAAGTGTAAAGGCAAAAAGGAAAAGAATAAAAATAACAATAGAGATGAAAGAGATCATACAGAAGTATGAAAATGGCATTTTTGTCTCGGATTTGGCTTTGCAGTTTGACTTAGGAAAGTCATCTGTACCATTCTCTGAACAAGGAAGTAATAAAGGATGCTGATGTTACCAAAGGAGTGGCTATGATCACCAAGCAAAGATCACAGACCTTAGAAGAAGTGGAAAAGTTGCTCTTGATTTAGATCAACAAAAAGCAGCTAGCCAACAGCAGTATTTTGGAGGCTATCAGTTGTGAGAAAGCAAGGCTTTTGCATAAAAATTTGCTCAAGAAAATTCCAGGTTCAAGTTTGAGACTGATGTGTTTAAGGCTAGTCAAGACTTCAGTTTGAAAAGTTTAAGAAGCAAAGTGGCATACACAGCATAGTTCAGCATTGAGAAGCTTCAAATGTGAACAAAAAGATGCAGAAATGTTTGTGAAAGAATTTGATGTGTATATGATTACTGAGGATTTTATCCTCCAGTAAGTGTTTAATTGTGATGAAACCAAACTGTTTTGGAAAAAAATGCCAAACAGAACATACATAACTGGAAGAAAAGGTTTTGCCTGGACAAAAGCCAATGAAGAACAAGCTAACTCTCTTGCTTCGTAGCAATGCTAGTGGTGATTTTAAGGTGAAACCATTCTCATGTATCATTTGGAGAACCTCATGTGTTTAAGAGAAATAATGTTATGAAAAGCAAGTTGTCTGTCATGTGGAAGGCTAACAGTAAGGCCTGGATGACCAGTTTTATTCCTAGTTTGTAGTAACATGAAGTTTTTGCTCCTAGTGTGAGAAAACATCTTTGTGGCGGTACGCCATGTTTTTGTAAATAGGGGTAGATATAAATTTTATTTTCTCCTAAATTCCTTTGTCTTTAACGTGTTTCTAGAACTTTCTAACCTATTCCTTTTCTGTGGGTGGGGGACGACCTTTGTCCAAGGACGGACAAAGGGGAGAAGACAAAAGGGACATTAAGAAGCCCTGAGGCCATCAGAGAGAACGAACTGGATACTTTTGGGTCAGCGTCTGAGGTGTGCAGACGTAGGAAAGAGCAAGCTAGAGGTTTGTCGCCTAGTGGGACAAACGGAGAAGGCTTGGAAGTCGTCTGCGAACGGACGAAAATTAGAAAGACATCCAGCCATAAGACCTCAAGAAAAAACGCTCCCGAATTCTCAAGAGACGGAATCAAGAGGAAGGAAATTGAGTTAATTCAAGTACCAATATAGAGAAGATCGGAGACTCCCAAGTTTACCCGGGTACCCCCACAAAATCTGTCCTTTATACTTATCTCTTCTCTTCATATCTCTTAATTTCTTTACCCTTCTTCCTTAGCATATAAGCTAGATTAAGGTAGATTTAAGTAGTCGTAGTATCTTAAACCATAATCTTTTTATTGTCGCGAGCACGTGTTCTATTTGTGAAAATATAGAATTTTGTCGGACGGATTCGAACTTGTGCACGTACTATAGTTTGGGATCAAGTGTGTTTAGTGTAAACGAACCAGGTGTACGAAGGACTAAGTAGCTGTAGTTGAATAAATATCCTGTTTGATTTTATGGTTACTTCTTTGTCATCCTTCCTTTGTCCTCCACACCACCACATCTTAATGAAATAACTTGCCACTGAAGTGCCATCTTTTGATGGACCGTGCTCCTGCCCCAAGTTACTGGAAGAGTTCAACTTCATCATTGTGAAGTTTCTGCCTCCTAATACAACTCCACTGATTCAGCTGATGGATCAACATGTCATTTCTAACTTTAAAAAATATTACACCAAAACACTTTTTCAAAGGTACGGTACTTTGAGGTTACTTCTGACTGAGTTTACTTTATAGGCATATTTGTGGATTGAAATACAGCTAAAAAGATTAGAAAGAGGTTTTGTTTTGAGGTTGGGAATGGATTAATCCATTTTACATTGTTTCTTATGGGAAAATTTGTTTTGTTTTGAGAACAAATGGTTTCTGAACAACTTTTATAAACGAATTAAGTTCATAAACCAAGGTTTGGCTGTATATATATTTTATACGTGATTGAAATGTGAAGATGATATTGAAAACATTTTATTTCTAGGCAACTTTTTCATAATTAAATTGTAGGATTGCATGCAGGATTATCATCAATCATTTGAATTTGTAAATAATGGTTAAACACTATTAAATCTGTTATAATATGAATGTTTTTAAAAGTTTGAATTTATTAAGATTTTTAGTCTTTCTTATATATGAATTAATTTTGTTTTAATTTTAGTGTTGAAGAAATGGCTATGAAGCTAAGAGATGAATTGTTAGAGTTTTTAAATAAATATTCTGGTATACATGCCTTAAAAAAGGTTAGTAAGATATTAATGAAGTTGTTAACATATTGAGTTAAACTATGTAATAAATATTGAAAATAAAAATTACTCAAACTTGGCAGTTTTTATTTTCAATATTTTGAATTTTTAAATCATATTAAGTTTAAACATTCAAAATATTCAATAATTAATAAGGGGCTGTCCATAAATTATGTCTTCATTTTTCTTGAAATTTTTACTTTCCCTCCATCTCTTGTCCCAGTTTGTCCAAGTTTCTATAACCTCTCCCTCCTTCAGATATCCAGCAAAACTCAACCACTCTCAGAATCATATGCATAATAAAATGTATAAATTGTGTAAAAGTTAATGAAATAAAACGGATGTCTATTGAAGTTCAACCACCCTCACTGTGTCTGATTTTGTCCCCCCTCTATCCCTTCCAGTTAGGGTGACCACCCGTCCTACCGTGGCGACACGTCCTACAATTAAACCTTTTGTCCTTTGTCCTACCGCCTAATGGAAATGTTCTACTTTCACAGATAACTACTACTGGGCCAATAGGTAGTCATTAATAATAACAATAAACTTTTTTTTTTCATATTCTTATATTAAATAATGGGTACAATTGCAACAAAGAGTAGTATTTAAAACAACAAGAGTAGTATATCAATTTAAAATTATTTACTTATTAATTTTTAGTGTTTTGTGCTTTTTATACTACCGATTTTTATTATTTTAAGCTGGGTTGTCAAATGTCCTACTGGGAAGCATTATAAAACTTCAAATGTCCTACTTTGACTATGTCAATATCTGGTCACCCTACTTCTAGTATGGACATAATTTATGGACAACCCCTAAGTTTGAGGTCCCATTATTACCAAATAAATAAATCAATGGGCATTCAGCTTAACATGACCTATCATTAAAGAGGAAGTTTAAGTTTGGGAGCACAATGTGCCAGACATGAAAAACAAGTCTTGTTTATTCTTTTTTGTTGTGAAAACATGAGTTAAGCATCACAAGTTTTTTCTCTCTTGTTTATGTAGTACACTGTTGGCAACGTTTCTCTATGAAATAAACTTGTGATTTATGTATTAGAACTGAATAGAACTATTTGTTCATTGGATGGTAATCCTATGACCAAAAAATTACATAGAATATTCTATCCTTTATATTCCATAAAGCGTATATGAAATATAAAGGATGGAATATTTATGTAAATACTAGCAAAATTATCTGACATATATTCTAAAAAATCAACAATAAAATTTGAAAATTAGAGATATTATTTAATCAATAAGTAGGCCTATATGTTATACTGTAATTTTATAATGCTAATCATTTAATTTTATATCTTGTACAGTAATGATATTCAATTTTGTAATTTTTTATGAATATGTTGTTTTTAGGCTTATACTGAAGTAGGAGATAAAGTTAAATTGACCGCTTTAGATGGTGAACAAATTGTTTCAAAAATGTCTTCAGATTTATCAAAGAAATTAGAAAAAACAATGGAAGCATTGAAGGTAATTAGATAAATAAAATTTGAAGTTCCTCTAAGTTTTCAATATACAATAAGCTTAGAAGAAATTTAAACTGAAATTCTGTAGATGTTAAATTTTAGTTTAGTATATAATCATAACAATTATTTATTACTGTTCTTGTAAAATATCTATGTTATGGCTAAATGAGAGTCATTTAAGGCTATTTGGATAAAGTACTTCCTGTTACGATTAGAAAATTATCAATATAATTTCATTTAATATATAGTGAAACCTCGCTTTGGACACCTCGCTTATTTGACCACTCCCGAAATTCCTTTATAAAACTGCATAAGTTTTAATATAAATCAAACTCCGCATCAGTGATCATTTAAATCTCAATTAAGTGACCATGATAGGAATGTCCTTAAAATGACATTTATCCATGTTTATATGGCTGATATAACAAAAAACCCCATTTCTAAACTTAATATGTTGTTTAAAACACTTTAAATGGAATTGAGCTTTGTTGCTATAGTTTTGGAAGAGGGTGCCAAGATCCTTCCATCAGATGATGATCAAATAAAATCAATCTCCATTTACATACAACAAATTAAATTTATCTTCAGAATTTAGCAAGAAGAAAGACAATTATATATCTGTTCAATAATTTTATACAAAATCTGATTTGTATTTTGTGTGAGGTTGCCGAATTAGGGATTACCAAATGTCAGGATTATTGTATGTGGAGTGAAGGAAAGTGAGGCAAATAGCTGCAGTGACAAACAAACCCATTTATTTTTACTAAGTCTTACAATCTAGTGTGTGTTGTCTTCTGGAGGTGCTGGACTGTTTGAGTCGTTGGTCCCGGGGCAGTCAGTCAATGCTTTGATGGTATGGGATGTCCAGTGATGAAGAGTAATAGCCCGACGTTCAAACAGGGTGGTGTCCACATGGAGGAGGCAGGGAAAAGTCTGGACAGTTGACTACAGTTGAAAGCTGGGGAAAGTTTGGACAGTGGTTGTCACTATCAGAGGCTGGGAGAAGTCTGTCTTTGTCCTTGAGATCCAGGTTTTTAAAAGATTCTCTTTCCCGGATCTCTAGCCCTTTTGATTGGTCAGTTTCCTGTATCTAGACAGATGACAGACTATTTCAAGGTACCAAAGGTTTAATTCGACACTGTGTTGTAATCTAATCAAGGGAAATTAATTGCACCTTTGCTTGTATTGAATTGTTTCAAATTCTTGTAAGTCTGACACACAATCTCAGCACTGCATCTCCTTTTAAGGTTATTTAAAAACTTACTTTTTTCTCTCAATTAATAGTTTTATTATTTTCCGGTTTTATTTAGGTGTTTCTTTCAATTTTTACGAGCGTTAGAATCAAAGCCTGATCCCTTGATTTGATACTTTTATGATATTTTAACATGTGAACTTGAGTATCACTCGGGCCTCCCATTTGTAAAAATATAGCTATGTACTTTAATCAGCAATGAGCAGTCTAAATCACTCAATTAAGAAAAATATCAATAACCCTGATGTAAAAGCTGGTTTAATTATTTAAACTTTTTTTGACACTTGAACACTTCTGCATATTTAGTGACTTCTGTTTAAGTACCCTCTCATGGTCGCACCAGTGCTGCCAACTAAAACACATGCACACCAACAAAAATAATATTGGAGTAGTCCAAGATAGCCAAATATTGCAGCACACAGCACTAGCAGAAATTTGAATTTGCCGACTGGAATGCTTTCAGTTAACCAATGTTTCAGTTGATCGGTATTTGGATAATCGATGCTCTACTGTAATAATAATGGGTATAATACTTAAATAAATACTGCTACAAATAGCTTGCATCCACTATACATGTATCCTGTATTTTAATACTTTATTATTCAGTGTTAGTATATTGACCTGTATGAAAGTGTAAATTACTGTATATTATAAATGATGCACAGTACAGTAGACCCCCCTATAACGCTTAGATACGTTCCATACTAAACGAATTTTACGTTATAGGAATGATTAAATACATGATCCAATCGCAGCCCGATAGGTGGGAACTTTACAGACTAAGGCTGTTCGAAAGGTTTTCTTCTATAAAATTAACCGATTCTAGACTAATTCGACTCAACATTTCCAAAACACGTATAATTTTTTGGGAGTAATCCGTATAAACTATGCTATAAACAAAAAATTATAGGATTACTTACCGAGTGTGTACTGTTCGACTACGCCGTTGCTTAAAGCTGGTTTTCATCGCAGAACAGCACATTAAATGGCGGCCGCGATTTCTAATAACGAATTTTTCGCATAAAAATAACTTGACCTTTGGAGACATCATTAATATAAATAATTTTTATGGCCGTTGAATAAGAAGTGTTTCTTTCACAAGAAATGTATAAAATTAGTGCTGTATTAGACTTACGGTACCTAATTTACATACTGTACAGACGATAATAAACTCAACTTACTAGCCTAAAATCTCCGTAGCGTGTTGCCAGGCGGCAGAAAGCATATATATAATTATAATAAAGTTACAATAAATTAAGTTAATATATAATTATATATACAGTACCTAATTTATATATAATTAATATATAATTATATGTACAGTACCTAATTTATATATAATTTATATATAATACTAAACAGACGATAGCAAACTCAATTTAGCCGCTCCGTAGCGTGGCGCAGGGTCGGAGGAAAGTAGTTCGGCTGCTCATCCACTATTGGTCCAGACTCTATCAATCTTGTCGCGAAACGACGTTATAGGAGGTACGTTATACGAAAGTTGCTACAATTTTTTCGCTACGTTATAGGAATTGTCGTTATAGGAACGTACGTTATAGGGGGTCGACTGTATTACATGAATTTTTTTATTATTTGTTTACATTACTGCCATACCGGTTATTCATGGCATTGACTGTGGTCAGTAACTTCATTCTTCTCCTGTTATTTGTTTACTTTTATAATCTGTATTAAACTGTTAGCAGGATTCAGTATAGTACTCTAATTACAGTTCTGTGTATCAATTTTGTCACACTCCCATTTGGGTAACCACCTCATTTATGAACCAGAAATTGTATATACCAAAGGTTATACAAATATACATTGTGTGATGTAAGATTTTAAGTAACAGGTTGTGACACAATAAAATCTATACAAACAAAATTTTATTCAAAATGACAACAGAATCGTAACAAGTAACTAAAACACAACCCACGATATCAGCCGAGAAATGTACTCGTGACAAACACTCAATTGCAATACAGTAAAATAATAAAAAAAAAACCTTAAAAATGCATATAAAATATTTTAAGTAAAACTGACTGTTTAATCTACTGTGAGGACAAGAAAAGTGGACTAAATACTTAAAACTAATTATTAATGCTAATCTTAATTCTAAGATGAAAGAGGAGTTTGATTGACAGAGGGTGAAAGTTAGTGATAAAAAGGTAAGTGATAGAAAACAAAAAGGTATCCAAGTCTTTTATTGGATCAAGTACTTTTTAAACAAAAATAGGAACACATGTTCCAGAACTTTTCTTCTATCAAAAACCAGAATGGGGACATCGTCATCTCTCCAAAGAACCCTCAAATATCCACAATGTCATATTTAGGGTTCAGTATCTTGGTTTTCCTGACCTTAAGGATCCTTGGCCATATAATCTTCCTACTACTCGGGGACCCGCATCTTCTCTCTCCAGTTCCCATCCAAAAAAGTCTCTCCTTGAGGTTCTACTCCTTTTAAGCAGACTGCTATGTATCGCAGCGCCATCTATGGCACTTCGAATGTATATATTTAGTAGCGCGCCTGCGCACTGCAGAGTTCTGTACCCGCTTCTTCTTGAATAAAGACATGCTTGTTACTTGTTCTTACGAATCCATTTCAATCCTTTTCGTAATCTAATTCCGACGTTAATACATTTATTTACTAATGAACACAAGACTGTGTTATTATTAAAACACTTGGCGTTTATCCACTTTATTCAGTTGATATGGGCACTTTTACACGTTTCGGGCGTATAGCCCCTCATCAGTCAACTGATAAGAAGAAACATTTACATTAGATTATTACATTTTTTAAAAATTATATAACGATTCTAAAACATATAACATTTAAGACATACCATTTAAAAAATTTCAATGACACACGTACAGCACAAGTTATTATTTACTGCTGTTAGGATAATTTGATAGCGATGAGAACATAAACCTACATACATTAAATTAAAAAATAAAACACTGTATACACTGTAATTATACACGCTTATACTGATAACGTACATAACTATACTAATTTTTGTGTACAATTGTTTCTTACTGTTAAGTAGCCGTGACACATCCTTTATCTTCTTACTAAAGTTGATAAATATATAGGCAGAATCCTTTCTAATGTTTAATGAATATATTTGATGGTTTCTCACAACATTTCATTTGCACATAACAGTGTGAGATAAGCGCGAATACCGGAGACAAAGAAACACAACTTTTATGATATGAAATTCTTTAATTCGCGCACAGAATACCGGAAATGTGGTTCGGATGCCAGCTACAATCTCTACCCTCGAACATTTAATTAATTTCTGTAACAAAAAACTTTACGGACCAGTTATATAACGCGACAATCTCGTAGTTTAATAACTATTTTACTTATATACTATACAATTATACCTTATAACTAAGCTTACGGCTAATTATTATATTCTAAAGATGAAAATTAGGTCTAAGGTAAGATATGAATTGAAATATAAAGATGAGAGAAAAAGGAAGTCGGGTACCCAATGATTTCGGTGTGCTTCACGGGGGATTGTAGTAAGTGGGGGTGAGCCTCTTGATCCACGGCGAAAGATAATTCCTTCCCTGTGGAAGTTTTCTTGGTCTTCACTATACACTTTAAAACGCACGAAAACCTCCTTTTCAGTTTTCGATAGCTTCCGTATTCTTTTCTCCTCGAAAAGTCCGTTTAGTCTCCACTCGGTTCAACAACCCAAGAGCCTTCTTCACATGTCTTTTCCTGTCCTCTACTACCTCTAGAATGAACTCTTGGACCCCGTTATACCCTGAGGGTTACACACCTTCCCCTTTGTTACACAGGGGTCACCTGCTGTTACACCGTTAAACAAAAGTAGGGAGAAACTTCCAGAAAGAAAGACAATAGAAATGAAGACAAAGGGAAATATATTTAATAAAAATATAAACTATAACTATACAATTATGGCATGTAGCCACANATCGAAATCCTCCCTCTACCAATACTTTAAGATGGCCAATTCCTGAAGAACCTTGGAGTAGAGTGCATATCGACTTCGCTGGACCTTTCCTTGGAAAAATGTTTCTAATAGGTATTGATGCAAAAACTAAATATCCTGAAATTCAAATAATGCAATCCACAGATTCTTCCGCTACTATTCTGGCACTTAGATCTTGGTTTAGTCGTCATGGCCTTCCATTACATGTTCATTCTGATAATGGCCCTCAATTCACATCTCGTGAATTCAGAATGTTTTTAGCACAAAACGGAATTCGTCAGACATTCTCTCCGCCATACCATCCTGCAACTAATGGAGCAGTTGAAGGATTTATCAAAACGTTTAAGTCATCCTTAAAAAAATTAAGTCGTGAAAAGGATTTAATGACATCCCTCCTCCAATTCCTTACTTCGTATCGTACTACTACTCATTGTTCTACTGGTAAAACACCTAGTGAAATGCTGTTCAACAGAAAACTTCGCTCAAGACTAGATTTGTTGCGCCCTTTAACCTTATCGGATAACAACGTAGTTCGTCCACAGCGTTCTTTCATGATAGGAGACACAATTTTTGCTCGTGACTTTTGTTCTAAAGAATATTGGGTTGCTGGTAAAGTTATTCAGAAACTTTCACCTGTTACCTATAACATTGAGCTCCCTAATGGTTCCATATGGAAACGTCATATTGATCAACTGAGATCTCGATCATCCGCATCCCTCGAATCTCAAGGTGCTTCATTCGTTCCTCTTCAGCTGTGGTGGGAAGAAGAAGTAAATAATCCTATAGTTGAAAATATTCCCCAGAAAGACAACATGAAAAATTCATCATCAGATACTGCCTTAACTTCAGACTCCTCTAGTACTCAAGAGTCAAGTCGTAGACATTGTAAAACTCCTAGATACTTACAAGACTATGTTTGTAACTTCTCCTTAGGAGGGGATGATGCTATGTATCGCAGCGCCATCTATGGCACTTCAAATGTATATATTTAGTAGCGCGCCTGCGCACTGCAGAGTTCTGTACCGCTTCTTCTTGAATAAAGACATGCTTGATACTTGTTCTTACGAATCCGTTTCAATCCTTTTCGTAATCTAATTCCGACGTTAATACATACCACAGACCACAAAATTAGTTAAACCAGTTTTTACTTGGACAAGAGAGGGCTTTATCCCAGAAGTGCAGACTCTGTCAGCAAAGAAGAAAGACAACTTCAAGGTAGTAGAAGAAAACGAAAAAAAAAGATGTCATTAATTTTTCTTTTCCCCTTAAATTACGGCTTACAGCCACACACATAAGCGAGGTTTTACTGCAGTTTAAATATAATTATATTGATATATCTGAAAAGATTCTGACTTGAAGTATTAATTTTAACATAACTATCAATATACTAACATATCACACTATATGGTTTTTTTTTGCTGAGATAGTTTTATTGAAAAACTAACATTTTTGACCTGCTCTATATGCCATCCTCATATCAATATATTGATATGTTAGATGAATCTTGGACCTTTATAGGATATTTTTCAGGTTTTTCTAAATTTAATAAAAATTAATGAAAATATCTGATCATTTAAGTTACTAATAGAGGACAGTATATCTTTCTGTAATGTTAAATTTTCTAATGAATTTAATTAAACCAAATAATAATTAATAATTTACAAAGAACGATTATGTTTTCGTTGAGAAATATATGTAAATCAGAATTACCCATAATTAAAACATTTTATTTTTAATTAATTTTACTGTTTGCATTTAATATTTTAATAATTTGAAAATTCAAATTATTAAAATATAAGACGACTTATTATAATCATTTTATGTAACTTTCCTATAAACTGTTACTTTTCGTTATGGATTCATACAAATTTTATAAACATTATTAAAATTTTTATTTAAATTTAGTTATTTGATTTCCAGTTGTTAAGACAAAAAATGAAGCATTATCTTTCGTTTTTCTTTTCTTTTATTACTTAACTTTACTGACTAGCGGAACTTATTTACAACATTTCAAATTGACGAACCTCTGACGACAGAACACTTTTGCCAGTGTTGCCAGATATAGCTGTACAATAATTAACAATATAAATGTACAATAATTAACACCAGTAAATACTTTTTTTTTATATTTGTGAATATTTGTATAAAAGAAATTATTGGGTGAACTGAAAGTTGAGAGTTGGCATCAGGAAGTCAAATCATTGCACACACTACTAGTAACCTCTATAGTTAGGACAATCTATTTATATGATTTATATTTTCAAACAGAGTGTTGGTTTGGCACATGGGTTTGCAGTGCACCAGGAAGGAAATAAGCTGCCACAATACTGAATCTGTCCAAAACTAATTAACAAGTTGTGATCCAGCTTCTTTTGTGTGGAGGGTTGTGGAGCATTTGATATCTGTCTCTGGCAGGGCTTTATAGTTGTCACAAAATAGAGGTTGTGTTCAAATACATTCAGACTGTATGAGTATGGTGTTAATGGCTGACATACTGAACAAAGCGGGTGACACCATTCAAGGAAACAAAAGTTTTTAACCTGGAGCATCCACCTTATGTCACCCTGTAATTAACATGTCTATGGATCACTGAAAAAGGCACTTTATATTGATGATGATTTAATGCATGTCATTAAAAAATGGTTTTGAGAACAACCAAAAACTTTCTTCCATGATAGTAACTGTAAACTAGTCATAAAGTGGGACAGTTGTCTAAACTCCACTGGTAATTACTTTTAATTGTACTCATGTTTTCCCAGAAATATTGATGAATTCACAACTTTTGGCTCTCGCCAATGAATAATCAGAAAAAAATTGTCAAACTAGCATTTTATTTCTGCTTAATGTTAGTTTTCTTACAATAAAGTTTGCATATTAATTCAGATTTTTTATATTTGATGATAATCTACAAAATATAGTTAAATTATGTGGATAAAATTATTTTGGTTTTTATTTGTAGAGATCAGTCACTGCTGCTGAAAAGATAATAGAAGATTATAAGTATAATCCAGATTTGAGAGTAAGTATATTTTAATTATTAATGTATAATTAAAATTCTAAAATACAATTTTTATTACAATTTATATTTTCAATAATCATTTTCTAAAATTTACTATCTCATTTACTATTTTCTCAATAATTTATACAATCAGTGAGAAAATATTACAATGAGTTACTGATTAAACAAAAACATCATCCAATATTATTAATATAAATTCCTTTATATATATGTAGCAATTGAGATAACATGACTGTGGAACAAAAGTACCAAAGTTGTACCAATTGTAATAGGGGCCTTGGGTGCCATATCTTTTGGACTGATGAAATATCTAAGAACATCATCACTTAACAAACTTTTCAACATTTTGTTAAGCCCCAATAGACCTAGGTCTGTTAGGCGATGTTATAGGGTCAAGGCACGGACAAATTTAAGGACTTTACAAATCTGGTTAAATTTTAGTAACGGGTTTAATCATAAATATTTACAAAATATTCATCTGTTCTAAAACATGAGAGGAACATAATTCTATTTAAATTTACAAGATTAGGTAACACGTACACTATATGAGAAAAGGATTGAAGATATTACTTCTCCTTTTAAAAGAACACAATAATCAACATACTGACAAAATGTTTTTCTGAAGTCCTTCGATGTTTCCTGTTTTAATATCTTGCACTTATTTCGTGAACAATGGGCGTATTCTATACGACAGATTTGGATTCCATTCTCTTCATTTGAAAGTTCACACTTGTCAGTCCCTTTCTTCTTCTTTACCGACACTCTTACACCACGTTGACTGTTGATCACTCAAGAAACAGGAACCAGAAAGTTCACTTTGGATGGGAGTTCCAATATTTATACTTCCTGCCATTGGGTGTGACATGAAACACACGTGATGTTAGTCACTGACCAATCAACAAGTACGACGGGCCCAACCCGTTCACAATCCGGTACCATAAAATAAAATGGAATTTTACAACAAAACCTGACATGACACACGTCATATTATATATATATATATAAAATAAATGAAATAAACTATACATAGTGCTTGGGCATTACAATTTGATTTATAAAAAACTGTTATTTTTGGAACTATGGAAATATCTGAGGGATGCCTATGCCCTGGGATGGGGTTCATGTTATGTCAGTCAGTACTAGTCTGTGGTAGGTGATAACCATACTAGTCACATTATAGACTGAGGATTCCAGCTTTGGATTTATTGTTTTATATATATAATACCACAGTTTATTGACATAATATTTTATGACAGTTTAATTTAATACTAATCTATAATCTTCAATAATAAGCTGTTAAAAAATAATTTTGAGTTTAGGAGTCATTCATTAATTGAAGTGTTTTTCTTAATTTTTATTGACCTATAATTTTTCGTTTGACTAAATGAGCCAAGGTAGAGCAAGCATCCCACCCAGCCCCACTGTGGCTATGCCCCTTGTTGGTCACCATCTTGTTGTCATTTTGATTGCAAATTTGTATTTGAAAGTAATTTTTCACAGTTTATATGATGATTTGAAACAAAATGAAAGCAGAAATAAAAGGAGAAACCATCACTGAATTAATATCTCAATTTTGAAACTTTTGAACAAGAGACATTTTGTAAATAAGCACTTCAATTACATATACAGTCTAAAGAGGAGGGGATTGAAAAAGTGCAGCACATCATTGTACAGTACATGATGAGGAGGGTGGGATTGAGGCATTGTCTAATGTGGACTTTTTTAGCGGTGGTAATGGCATATAAATTTGTTAGTAAGCCAACTTACTAATCACATGAATAAATCATCAATTAGAAAATATTTGCAAAGCTTTTAGTCATAAAATTGCATTGTGCTGATTATCAGTACCAGTAATTTAATTTTTTAAATATATTTTTCATATTTTAAATAAATTTTAAAACTTAAAAAAAATGAGAATTTACTGTAAGTTTTTTATACAAAGAACCTTATATAAAGTTTTACAACTTTTATAAATAAAAATAATATTTTGTTACTGTAGGAAGGAAAAGTTGATTGGTTAAATTCAAAGGATTTATTAAATAGTTCTATGCTGCACTATGATAGTAAATTTAAGAAAGAAATTAGTTTTGCTGCTTCATCTGTACACATTCCAGTGGAGATATATGATGGAAGTAAGTATGGAAAATAAAAGAAATTTTGTCTTTATAAACATATTCTTAATAAAAATATTTTCAATTAAATTATTTATTATTTTATTTTATATAGATGTTGAAATTTTAAATGGATTAAGATGGTCTTCTAATCTTGATAAAGTATTTCAAGAAAATTCAGAAAATGATCCAGAATTATTGTGGCAATATTTTGGGAGTTTGAATGGTTTTATGAGAATGTATCCTGGTATAATAAAATTTATTACTATAAAAAATATTCTATATATATTATACAAATACATACTTGTCCAAAAATAAACATAACCATTAATTTGATCTGTTTCTCAGAAACCTACTGATCAGAGCTGTTTAATGAAACTTAATATAAAAACAGAACTTTATATTCTTTATGAAACAAATCAATTGAAAAACACAAATTTCATCAAAATCATATAAAAACAGTATAAAATACTAAGCATTGTCATAAATCTTTTTCACAGAAAATGATTAATATAATATGTGGCTGCTTCTTGCGCACATGCTACATGTTTATTGCTCATGCTGATTGTAATGTTTATCAGCTCTGTTGGGAGTAAAGTCCACTCTTGAACAAGATCATTTTGAAGTTCCTGGATTGTTCTTGATGGAAGCTGAAATGATGTAATTTGTTTCTATAGAGCAGTGTTTTTCAACCTTCTTGAATACGCGACCCCTTTACAAGTTAAAAAATTCTGGCAACTCTCCAGGGCCATATAAAACTATATCAGTGATTTTAAAAACTACGTATTTAATTTTCTTTCTGTTTAGACCTAAATATCGATCGAATAACCAATTGTACTGTAAAATAAACAGGCACAGCCTTCTCACTGAAATTGTAGTTTTTTATTGTAGTGTAGGATCTACAAACACTTGTCTCTTCATTTTACCTGCAACCCCCCCGTGTAAGGCTTTGCGAACCCCCTGGGGGTTGCGACCCACAGGTTGAAAAACACTGCTCTAGAGAATCCCAAACATCCAATGGAATTTGAGTCTTGAGATTTTGCTGAATACTCCATGTGATCAATGTCTTTACTGTCAAGAAAGTCATTGATGAGTGTAGTCTTTGTGTATGGGCATTATAATCCATGAAAATAAAATTTGCAAGCACAGCATCTCTGAAAAGTCTCACGAGGTTCCAAGACATCATCTTGCATTAACTCTTTAAACACACAATCTGCCAAAATTGGCCAATTGGAAAAATTGTTTGACTGGTTTTACTTTACAAGTTTCCCTTGTAGCCTGAGGGGTAAAAACAATTTAGTCTTTAGCTACATAGTAGGAAAAAGTTTTCAGAGCTTAGAGTTAATGCTATACCCTTGCAACAACATGAAGCTCAATGTGGCAAATAATCATAATGCTGCCTTAAATTATGATGCCATTACCTGCAAACTGGTCTCTTTCCACAGTGTTTGTGGGATTATATCAGGTTTCTCACTCTTTTTAGATTCTAATCTAAGATAATCATTCTGTAGATTGTACCCAGATTCCTATCTCTGGATTGGATAATTATGTTTATTTTTTGGACATAAGTTTATATACTGGGTGAGTCAAAAAATGACCTTAATTAATTTGATCTTAAAAAATTTTAAATCATTGGAGTGGCTATAATTTCAAGATATATTTTCAAGAATGCAGATTTGATATGTGGCAGGCACACCAAGCATCACGTGAACTGTGATGTCAGCAGACCTTAACAAAGATTGTGACATTCTTACAGATATGCATGGAAGAGGAGCAGTGTGCAGTTATTTAATTTTTTAATTGTGAAGTTACTGATGATGAATCATGGATCTATTACTTTCAGCCAAAGTCTAAGGAAGCAAAAAGGAGTAGTGACATTTCACATCACTAAAACCAAAAAATTTTGCATGACTCCTTTAGCTAGCAAAGTAATGCCACACTTTTCTGGGATCAATATGATTCAATTCTGAACATTATATGTCCAGTCAATTATTAGTGAACAGTGTGGCATATTGTCACTTGCTTCAGAAACATTTGAAACCCACAATAAAGTCCAAATAAATGTCATGGTTTGTTTAGTGCTGGTTTACCATTACAGCATGACAATACATAACCACACACACATCTTATATGACAATCCAAAAAGTTTTGGATCTGTGAATAGAGTGTATTCCACATCCCCCCCATTTGCCTGACCTTGCACTGAGTGATTATATCTTTGGACTACTCAAGGAAGTTCTTGGTGGTAAAAAATTCAGTAATGATGATGAGGTGAAAACAATGGCTGTACAGTCAACCAAAAGATTTTTTCTTATGGAATTCAAGTATTAGTGAATGCATATGCATCTGCTGGCATACATATATTAAATGTGGTGGGGATTATGTTGAAAAGTAACAGTGTTTTCATTCAAATGTTTATATATCTTGTCAATGAATAAAAAATAATTAAGGCTACTTTTTGACTTATCCTCATATATATGGTTTAATTATATGCAATATATGGTTTTATATAATTAAATTTTATTTTATAAATGTTTATAAATTATACTACATTTTTGTATGTATAACTATACAGTGTATTTTTGTGTGTATACAATGGCACATACCACTGAAAATTGCTAGAATGAAGACAAAACTTTTGCATAACCTATCCAATCACATATCCTGCATCTAAAGAACAGCCATTACTTAATATGTGGGAGTTTGTAATTGCAATTTAAAATTGTCGTATAATCTGCCACATCACATAACCCACACTCCTTTTAAATTGCCTGTAGGTTATATACACAAAATATGTAATATATATTTATTTATTTGTAGATCTTTAAAGATATGATAAATGTGTGTTATTGAAACTTCATTAAAAATTTGTTACTGTTGTAATTCTATTTGAATAGAATAAGTTATGCTATTTTTTATATTAATATCTGATAACTTCTTTAGATGCAGACTGATGTTTTTTAATTTAATATATATATTACAATATTAAAAATTAAAATATTTTATTGAATTATGTAATACAGTCAATTCTGCTTAATTGGGCCAAATCTCAAAGAATGGAAACCATACTAATAACTAATGCATAATTTAAATGCTTAATTGGGACAGTAGCAGAAACGGAATTTAGCAATTTTTGATATATTTTAGGTATTGTCCAATAATATATTAACAGTACATACATTAATGTCATGTAGGCCTAATGCTTAATGGAGATAAAGCAATGGGTGGTGGTCTTTTGCTTGGGTGGTTCAGTTTTTCTGGAGGCAGGTCAGCATATTGGGACATATCACACAGGGATCCTATCTGAGACAGACCTGAATGAGAGCTACTGATCGTGCTTTGGATTGGACCATTGTTGGGATGTATGATCCCTTTTAAAAGTGAAGGGACAAACACCCTAGACAATTTTTTGAGGTCTCTCAACCAAGTNTGAATGAGATTAAGAAAAACCTGGTGAAAGCCAACACCACCAGTGAAGGCGAAGTGCTGTTCAGTGCCCTGTCAGGAAATTTTAACTGTAAATATGTACATTTTAAAAAAGGATGTGTATTATTTAGAATGAAATGTCTTAAAGAAAAAGGCATGTTATATAAAAAAAGTTTGTAATGTGGAAAATATATGTTTATTCTATTATGTAGCCGATGGAAGAGGAATGTATGAACCAAAACATGTATTAGTGTGCAAGATATTCCTGAATAAAGAGTGATGTTAAAGATGCCCAGTGTCTACCTATGCAATCTGTTGTGAAATAAAGAATAAAATAATATGATAATATATGTTATGTATGTAAACCGCCAGGGGATGACCGCTACCGGGAATCGCCCCTTGACCTACTTAGGTCACCCCACACCTCCGACCTCGTGTCTCCGACCTCGTGTATGTTCTTTGTCTCAACGAGTTGTCTTTAGTTGTTTTGTAACCCCTAGACCTGGACAGGACGATACGTTGTTCACTCATTGTTACGTTTATGTTAATANAAATACATACTTGTCCAAAAATAAACATAACCATTAATTTGATCTGTTTCTCAGAAACCTACTGATCAGAGCTGTTTAATGAAACTTAATATAAAAACAGAACTTTATATTCTTTATGAAACAAATCAATTGAAAAACACAAATTTCATCAAAATCATATAAAAACAGTATAAAATACTAAGCATTGTCATAAATCTTTTTCACAGAAAATGATTAATATAATATGTGGCTGCTTCTTGCGCACATGCTACATGTTTATTGCTCATGCTGATTGTAATGTTTATCAGCTCTGTTGGGAGTAAAGTCCACTCTTGAACAAGATCATTTTGAAGTTCCTGGATTGTTCTTGATGGAAGCTGAAATGATGTAATTTGTTTCTATAGAGCAGTGTTTTTCAACCTTCTTGAATACGCGACCCCTTTACAAGTTAAAAAATTCTGGCAACTCTCCAGGGCCATATAAAACTATATCAGTGATTTTAAAAACTACGTATTTAATTTTCTTTCTGTTTAGACCTAAATATCGATCGAATAACCAATTGTACTGTAAAATAAACAGGCACAGCCTTCTCACTGAAATTGTAGTTTTTTATTGTAGTGTAGGATCTACAAACACTTGTCTCTTCATTTTACCTGCAACCCCCCCGTGTAAGGCTTTGCGAACCCCCTGGGGGTTGCGACCCACAGGTTGAAAAACACTGCTCTAGAGAATCCCAAACATCCAATGGAATTTGAGTCTTGAGATTTTGCTGAATACTCCATGTGATCAATGTCTTTACTGTCAAGAAAGTCATTGATGAGTGTAGTCTTTGTGTATGGGCATTATAATCCATGAAAATAAAATTTGCAAGCACAGCATCTCTGAAAAGTCTCACGAGGTTCCAAGACATCATCTTGCATTAACTCTTTAAACACACAATCTGCCAAAATTGGCCAATTGGAAAAATTGTTTGACTGGTTTTACTTTACAAGTTTCCCTTGTAGCCTGAGGGGTAAAAACAATTTAGTCTTTAGCTACATAGTAGGAAAAAGTTTTCAGAGCTTAGAGTTAATGCTATACCCTTGCAACAACATGAAGCTCAATGTGGCAAATAATCATAATGCTGCCTTAAATTATGATGCCATTACCTGCAAACTGGTCTCTTTCCACAGTGTTTGTGGGATTATATCAGGTTTCTCACTCTTTTTAGATTCTAATCTAAGATAATCATTCTGTAGATTGTACCCAGATTCCTATCTCTGGATTGGATAATTATGTTTATTTTTTGGAC